AAAAGACTAAAATGAACTGAATTATCAGGCTTCATAAATTATATTTTATTTATTGGTACTGAACACTGGTTTTAATAGAACTCACCATGAAAACTTCGAAACTAACTTAAACACAACAAACAATAATAATAATAAATATTACATCATCTGATTTAAGACAGAATAAATGTCACAAGTCCTTTTTTTTTTCAATTTCAATCTTTTTTCTTTTCCATTTTAAATTGTCTCAGTTGGCACCGGTTTCTTCTCTAAACTGCTCCGCTGTCCATTTGTACCAAATAGGAATTCGGGCTTTTGTGTTTCTTGACAACTTTTCGGGCTTTTGTGTTTCTTGACAACTTTTCAACGGTATTTTCTTGTTTAAATATTAAGATCATAGGAATGGTTTAAAAACGTTTAAAAGAAAGGTCTAGAAAGTTCAGAAATACCTTATTGAAATACCTTACTCTTGTTTACAATTTTCTTGTAAACAAAAAACCAGTCATGGCTACTTTAGTACCATAAGTCTAATGTTAAAAATTGGAAATTTTAAGTTAGTTTTAAATTGCATTAGCATTATCTAATTGAAATTTTTTTGTTTAAAAACCATCTCACTATTAGTCTAAGTAATTTAGTTAAGTTTAGCTGAAATGCGTTCAGCCGTTATTGAGTGATGTTTCTCTATTTGTTGCATTGAAGTTGATCCCAAAGAGCTTCGCTCGCTCCGCTCAATAAAATCCAATGTATGTTTGTATATTTGTATGTTTGTCCTTTATGGACTCCAAAACCGCTCGACAGATTGTAATGAAACTTTTAGGCATTATTAAGCATTATTCAAGGATGGTTTGTGTGAAGTTTGGTGCAGATCCGTCAATAGGGCTCCGCCCCAGTGGCTCTGGAGTTTCCCATGTCAACCTTATGAGTACTCATATTTAAATGGAATTAAAGAATCTTAACAGCTGGTGCAGCTAAACAATTTGATTCTGTGATGTTCAATAGCATTAAAAAGTTAAAAGGAGTTAATACCAACAGGGTGCAGCACTATATTTTTTTTAATTTATGAGAACAGCTAATTTGCAACCAAAAGGTGAATGAGCGTAGCGAACAAACTTCAACCTGGAGGCGAGTTAGCGTAGCGAACGAGCTAACCTGAAGGCAAGTGAGCGCAGCGAACGAGCTCCAACCTAAAGGTGAGTGAGCGTAGCGAACGAACTTCAACCAGGACGTGATTGAGCCATGCGAACGAGCTCATCTTGAAAATGAACGAGCATGTGACATAAAACCACAATAGGACAGGACGACGTCTGTCGGGCCAGCTAGTCTATATATATAAAATCCAATGTATGTTTGTATGTTTGTATATTTGTATGTTTGTAGGTTTGTATATTTGTATGTTTGTCCTTTATGGACTCCGAAACCGCTCGACAGATTGTAATGAAACTTTCAGGCATTATTAAGCATTATTCAAGGATGGTTTGTGTGAAGTTTGGTGCAGATCCGTCAAAAGGGCTCCGCCCCAGTGGCTCTGGAGTTTCCCATGTTAACCTTATGAGTACTCATATTTAAATGGAATTAAAGAATCTTAACAGCTGGTTCAACTAAACTATCTGATTCTGTGATGTTCAATAGCATTAAAAAGTTAATAGGTTTACCAACAGGGTGCAGCACTATATATATTTTTTATTTATGATAACAGCTAACTTGCAACCAAAAGGTGAGTGAGCGTAGCGAACGAACTTCAACCTGGAGGCGAGTTAGCGTAGCGAACGAGCTAACCTGAAGGCAAGTGAGCGCAGCGAACGAGCTCCAACCTAAAGGTGAGTGAGCGTAGCGAACAAACTTCAACAGCTAATTAGCAACCAAATGGTGAGTGAGCGTAGCGAACGAACTTTAACCAGGACATGATTGAGCCATGCGAACAAACTCATCTTGAAAATGAACGAGCATTTGACATAAATCCACACTAGGACAGGACGACGTCTGTCGGGCCAGCTAGTAATATATAAAATCCAATGTATGTTTGTTTTGTCCTTTATGGACTCCGAAACCACTCGACAGATTGTAATGAAACTTTCAGGCATTATTAAGCATTATTCAAGGATGGTTTGTGTGAAGTTTGGTGCAGATCCGTCAAAAGGGCTTCGCCCCAGTGGCTCTGGAGTTTCCCATGTTAACCTTATGAGTATTCATATTTAAATGGAATTAAAGAATCTTAACAGCTGGTTCAACTAAACAATTTGATTCTGTGATGTTCAATAGCATTAAAAAGTTAATAGCTTTACCAACAGGGTAGAGCACTATTATTTTTTAAAATTTATGACAACAGCTAAATTGCAGCCATAAGGTGAGTGAGCGTAGCGAACGAACTTCTACTGGAGGCGAGTTAGCGTAGCGAACAAGCTAAACCTGAAGGCAAGTGAGCACAGCGAACGAGCTCCATTGTTTATTAAAAAGCCCTTTGAATAAATGTTTGAAAGCAAAACTACTTTTTAAATTTTATATAAATTAGGTAATAAATAAATATGTTTTATTGTTATTAACACAATGTACAATAGATTGAATGTAATCTTAAGAAGTCTTATTCTAAAATCGCAGCAACGCGCGACGGGTACGCTAGTTAATAATAAACATGATTACACAGATATCAAAACTAAATTAGAGGTTTTATGACCCCATAAAGGAAGAGAAAGATTTCTGAACACTATCAAAGAATAAAAAAATTACAAGGCTACAAAAAAAAAACCACCCCCAGTATATCCTGAATGAAAAATCCTTATTTGAAGCTATTATAATGTACTAGTTAACCGCCCGTGCTCTGCCACGGGAATATTGTCAGCAATAAAAGAAATAATAATTAACAAATACTGTTTATCTTTGTATTTTATTTAGGGGTTGTTTAATTTTTACATGAAATAGAACTGATAGTTTGCCTGTATAAACTATTTTATGTTAATCAAACCGATATATTATTTTAACCAAATGAATGTTTTATATTAATTCGAGTTTCATTTGAAAAATAAATAGTATATGAACTGGGCAATGCTGATAACCTAATAAGCAGCTATTTATGATATTTAGATAATTTGTTCAAGTATATTCCTATATTCGTCGTTTTTTAACATTACATTTGTTGTATTGAATAAAGATAGTCACTTAGCCTACATGTAAATCACGCATCAGCAGTTGGTCACATTACACGAATCTTTGACCCATACTGTGAGTAAAAGCTGTGTTTACGTCGTATATATAACTTTGGCCATACTTTGTTCAATTTTAGAGGGTATTAATGGTCCAATTTGATGGAAAAGGAGTCGTGGATTTTAAAACTATGTAGACTACCACTACCAGAAAGATGTTGATTCAAGTGAGACTTAGAACTGGCCATTTCAAATGCAGATTTGTATTATATTTTACTCAAATAGTTGTTTGTCTCTTTTGACCCTTAATACTTTTTTTATAGTCGCTGTTGATAAGATTTTCCTTAAACTCAAAATGTTGATAAGGAGTTCATTTTACCTTCCCCTTGTGACAACATAAGAAAAAAATATTTGTGTCCCAGTTATTCTGTTCTGACTCAATCAAAATTCATTGATTTGCAGTACTGACAAATCCAATCTAACGACCCCAATTAAAAAAAAAATGGTATTTTTAGAAGGGACTTCCAGAGCACATTTAACACCATCACTGCTCTTTACCTTTTTAGTTCGATGGTTCTCTACATGTTTTTTTTTCGTTCGGTATGTCTCTTTACGCCCGGTTAATGATTACCTTTTCTTTTTCTTTTTGTACTTTTCACACCCTGGGGTTAATGATAAAGTTTTATAACGCTATAATGACCCGAGTCAACATTACCATTAAACATTAAGTCACATACTTCTTCGCCAGAACTGAATGGTAAGTCACAGTTTCTCAAGCAACTTCCCTGTGTACTTGAAAAAAAAATAACTGATATATTGTAGTTCCACGTATCCCAGCGTACTCGCCATCTCGAGAAGGTAAAGTTTGGTACCACTGAACGTCTAACACTGATCTGAGTAAGATTCGTCACCTACTATAAAATGTTTGTATGTTTCCCACTCATTAGCAATTATATGTACAACTTGCAAGCGGATTTCCCCATGATTATTCTGGTGGGCGTAGAGAATAAATTATATTGATCAAAACAATAAGTTTCCGTTCCCTACTATGGGTATTATTTCACATTCCATACTCAAACTTAAACTCAATTACCATTTTCCTTCAGATCACTTTGCAGGAAAACTAAAACATTTCAAAAATAAGTTAACAAATACACTTTCCTTGATCAAAATCGTGTGTGTATAAACAGAAACTCCAAGTTTAATAATTGCATACTGAAAGTGAGGTTATAAAAATAATAACAAATGTCTGGCAAACATTAAAACAGCTGACAAATAATTTATAAACTGTGTATTTTATTCTTCAATAAGAATTGTATTGACTCGACCTTTAAAGGGCTGTAGGTCGTAACCCTTAGAAAAAACGTAAATTCTAAGTAAGTTCGGCAAATCTACACACTATCCCCTTTAATTTGAGACATAAATCTTGTAGATCGGTCCAGCAGTAATTACTGAGAAAACAGTGTTACAACTGTGTATTAAATATATAGATGAGACCGTCTTGAACATAGACAAGATCTTATCAGCAGCTGATAACTCTAGGGGGAAGGTGGGGAGAGGAAGACATGGCTTCAGTCTAAACCTAAACCATGTACCCGCGGCCGTGTAGTAATGCCAGTTTGTATGGCCATGCATTTGATCATTTTTTTATGCCTTGGTGCTACAAGTTTTTAGAGAATCAAAACGACCTCCTTAGAGTGATATATTTTACGTCTAGCTTAACAATGATGCCATAGACGACAAAACCAGTCACCTTATAGACGACTTCATGATTACTTGGGCAATAATTAGGTAATTTAACCTCTTTTATATTATTTGAGAAGTAATCCGGAAGGCAGCACACAACTATAGTAAAAAAAAGTTGTAATTTTTTGTCCTACTTACATTTTCTTGAAGTTCATTCCATGCATTCCTGATGTGTTTGATGCATCTATATTTTTTTAACGTGTTACTCATAAGACTATGTTGAACTCCCTTTATGTTAACAAATAAAATCCGTAGGAACACCAAGAAAATGATGATCATAAATGCCAAAATGAATGTTTCCATGCAGTACTGAAAAAGAGTTATTAAATCGCCATAGATTAGATAGTAGTAAAGTAATGTTGGATATTCCTGTCCATTATGTAATGAATTTTTAAGTTGAACCACAGAAAAAGTAATGAACATCTCACTGAGTAGCTTGTCAGAGATAGCTCCCTTTTACCATATGATTTAGGCTAGCAATTGTGTGTTATCCTCTGCTTTATACGCTTAGGCCAGCAGAGACACGCATCCACAACCAATAAAACACTTTTTGTATTTAGAACCTTGATTACTGGTACATTCGGTGGCGGCTAGTGTGTATGTTCACAGCTTCAGTGAAAGCCTTGCATAAATGATCAAACAATAAATTTTGTCAGCAAGTAGTGCAGATAACATCAACTTATTGATTTTTTTACAAAAAAATATGTCAACTATTTTTGAGATTGGGAATGAAGCTCTTATCTCCGGTGTCAAGCGGCATGGTGGGTTCTCACACGCAGTGTGAACCGCCCTACCAGGTAACGGGGAGCGGGGTGAGGGGAGAAGCCTGTTTGTAGTAAACGACAGAATCGCTAACATTTGTCGCTAGCGCACAGCCGAGTGCTGGCGTTATTTACCGAACACTTCTGATCGGAACAGTTCTATGAAAGGCAACTTCCCGCTTTTCTGTTGTGAAGAAGATGGACGAAAACGAACTACTAGCTACTGAAGTTGAAGCAAATGTAAAATCACTCAGAGACGTAGACCATTATGCCGTTCGGAAGGAAGTGACAACAAACGCTTTCACCAGCCAAAGACCCATAGATCCCAGCAGAAAGGAAGAACTGAAGACCTGCAACGAAATAAAGAAGAAGCTGGAAGAGAATAACTCAATCGTCATGAAAGCGGACAAAAGCAACGCCATCGTAGTGCTTGAAAAGGAAGAATATATAAAGAAGACTGAAGATTTCATCAAAGAAAATAACTTCAAAGAGCTGAAAAAGGATCCAACGCAGAAGTACCAAAAAGAGCTATCCGACGTCGTGAAGAGATGCACCAGAGTGGTTACCGAAGAATGTTGACAGAAGATGAACATCCTAAATTCCAAAGCACCCGTGATGAAAGGGATCCCGAAAATACACAAGAAGAATGTACCCATCAGACCCTTAGTTAACTTTAAATGTGCTCCTACCGACAATGTTTCAAAATTGTTAGCAAGTAAGCTCAGCAATGATTTAGAATTAGAATATATATACAATGTAAAGAATAGTTATGAATTTGTTGAACATGTAAAGAACATAGATATAGATTCAAATAGTAGTATAGTCTCATTTGATATCTCAAATCTGTACACCAACATACCTGTATCTAAAACTGTAGCTCTTGTTAAATGTAGGCTTTTGCAGAATAGTTTAGACAATGAATATGTCAATCAGATTGTAAAATTGCTTATGACTGTTTTGAAACAAAATTATTTTAGATTTAACAATAGATGTTACGAACAAACAGATGGTTTTAGCTATGGGAAGTCCAATTTTTCGGCAATTTTGTCAGAAATATTTTTACAGCATCAGGAAAAAGAAATGTTAACGAATTTAAGAAAGAATCATGATGTAAAACTGTATGTTAGATATGTAGACGACATTCTTGTTATTTTCAGACAAGCTCAGGAACAAGAGCACGAAACGATGATGCAGACACTTAACAGCCACCATTCGAACCTCACCTTTACCAACGAGTTTGAAGAAAACGAAAAGATCAACTTCCTGGACCCGACATTAGAGAGAAAAGACAGCAAGATCGAGTTTGACATCTACAGAAAACCTACGCAAACGGACACTACAATAAACAGCAAGTCTATCCATCCGACAATCCACAAGACCGCAGCCTTTAGATCCATGCTGTACCGAGCCTATAAGATCCCACTTAGCCAAGCCAATAGGAGGAAAGAACTGGACACCATTAAGAAGATCACTCAAGTTAATGGATTTCGAACCAAGACAATAGAGGACATCGCAAGAAAGACGAAAAGAAAACTCAATAGACAGAATACACTACACAGCAGAACAACTTTAGAAGAGATAAAAGAGGAAAACACCAGATATGTCACATTTAGCTACACGGGGACTACAACACAAAGGACTGCTAACAGATTCAAGAAATACGGAGTTTCGATAGCCTACAGGACTCAGAACACCATGAGTAAAATACTGCACCCAAAAATAGAAGATTGTAACAGATTCGACGCATCGGGCATCTATAAAATCAATTGTAACGATTGTGATAGCTTCTACATTGGACAGACTGTGAACTTCGTCAACCGCTTCAAAAACCACATATCTGCATGGAGAAACAACAAACCTGAAAGATCAAACGTCGCACAACACCTGTTACAAAATGGACACTCAATAGGAAAAATGGAGGATAATCTATGTATTTTAAAGAATTGTAAGAAGGGATATGTGATGAATGCTTGGGAAGAATTGTATATTTATAAGGAAAAATGTAAAAATAGAATTAAGTTGATTAATGAACAAGTAAATTTTGATTCCAGTTGTACTTATAAAAATGTATTGGCCGGTGTTTCCGGTAGCCAATAGGGTATAAGTAGGGACGCCATTCAAGATTCTTGTCATTCACCTATTGGGTCTGATGATGATTGGAGTGTCCAATCAAAATCGAACACCACTTACCATCTTTTTTGTATATTTACCGTCTTGTGAGTAACAGTATAAGCGTAAATATATCTTTTAAGTGTTATAAGACGTTTCTCTTATTTACTTTCCGTAATAAGTCAAGTAATAATAAATATATATTATAACCATCAAGTCTTTATTTCAATTGAGCTCTAAAACAAACATCAACCCTAAAAATGAGATTATTATAATTACAACGTGAGAGCCGACCACAGAACCGCTCTGGAGGCAGCGCAATCGCTAAGCAAGGTTCTCCGTTTTACTTTAAACGTCTGATACGTGAATTGAATAGTAATAACAATGAACTTCTCCCTTTTTACTCAAAACGACCACTAAATGAAAACCCCTTTAAACTCAAGACTCCCAAGTTTCTCCGACAGAACAAAACTGAACTCTACTCTTTGTCCCGAAACCAAGACTTTACCCTTAAAACTCTCCCTTCGGAGCTGACCCCAACAATATTAACAGGACCAGTACTCACCACCTCCCGTGGCTCCCCTCCTGGTCGACTGACCCCAGTCTATTGCCTATTTATCTGATCGCTCTGCTACTGAGTGCAAAGCCTGCAGTGTTTACCTAAACACCTCCAGTTTTTTTACTAGTTGGCAAGGTCTCTCACCTCCTATCTACAATAGTAAGTAACTCTAAAACCTCTAATTTACATTTGTAAAACCATCTCCCCCTTACACTGTTAAGTAGCCAGAACCATACGGCTGGATACAAGCTGTTAGTGCTAGTGCTGGTTAATTCTGATTTATGTTGAAGTATAGGTTATGTTCTAATATTCATATTTTTATTTGGAATTGTGGTGATGTTTTAAAATTTGAATAAAAGTGTTTAAAAATGAACAAGGTTAAATTCTTATTGCAAAATAACTTTTTTAACTCTAACTCTGGAAGACAAGTGTTCCATTAAATTAAATAATTAAAGTTGAGCTTCATTCCCAGTATTTTTACGAAGTAGGCCTAAGTATGTGTACCTAATTGCTCACCCTACAAAATAATACTAATATCTAAATATTTTAAGCTAAAATATGTCTAAACAAACTGTTATCACGTTTAGGGGCGGTTCACGAGCTCGGGACTTCATAGTCTGCGACCAGACGATGGTCCCGGACTATATAATAAGTGACGCCTAAAACTTGGGTTCACGAGACAGAGCGTAATGATGTGAAAGCCAAGCATATTTTTGGTCAAGGGCAAATCTAACGGCAGGGATTTGTAGTGAATTTTTGTTGAGAGGTTGGCAACAGCCTGGAAACAGAACTGAAGCTACTGCTCCAGGCCAACGCATAGGATGGTCCAAACAATAGGATGGTCATGAAATAAGGCTGAACCAAATCAATTATTTCTCGCAAATTTTACTGTCTCAAAGCTCGCCTATAATAATCTATTAAAGATTCATTGATTTGTAAACACAACAAGCCACGTTTGGACAAAATCAGATAAATTGAAGTCAATAACGAAAAAGATTTTTCTGTTTGCATCATTTTAATTCAAATTAGATATGCATGACATAAAATCCCTGGGTATTCATAACTGGATGAAGGCCTATCCTTATATATAATACGTGAAGGCGATTTCTACGAAACACTAAGTACACCTCCGTTAATAATGAACGTATTTTTACAAACGATGTGTCAAAATACTGATACTCCGTGTTTTTTACTGATTTTTCTGGTTTAATCTTAGAATTTTACGGAGTAATTTGTACCTACGGAAAGCGCAAGGATTTCTCAGTGCCAACATCGACTTCAAGCCTATAAACAGTAAGCTATTTAATAGTTATTCGGTATTTACTGTTTAATGATCCGGTCGCCGCCTCATCTACGTTCCGGTGCAAAGGTCAAGCCAGTGCCGTTGTCCGACTTGCGCGCTGATAAGAAGCTCGAGCGGTCGTTATCTGCTCCGTCCACGCCAACAGAGACTCTTACGTCTACGATGCCTAAGACGGACGTCATCGACACCGCTTACATCCAAACCTGTGTCACCGACTACCTCGCAGGGAGCAGTGTGCTCGACACCCTAGTTGCCAAGCTGGCCGACAAGATGAAGGAAGTGGTGGAGTCGGCAGTGCGAGCCGCCATGTCAGCCGCCAATGAAGAGCTGGTCAGTCTTCGCGGCGAGGTTGCCAAACTGTCGGACAGACTGCAGGGCGTGGAGGCGAGGCTGGAGGAGAGGACAGACGAGCTGGAGCAGTACCAGCGACGTAACAATATAAGGATATTCGGCGTCGAGGAGACTGCGAAAGAAGACATCTGCAGACATCTGCGACACAACATCTGCAGAGATAAGCTGGGCGTGGAGCTAACCGAGGCCGCCGTGTGCAGACCGCACAGAGTCGGGAAGGAGCCTG